TCACACACTGGGCAAAATATAGTTTATTCTTAACGGCGTGAAATCTCTTATTATGTTTGGATAAATGTTTCAATAGCTTCGAAAACACCTGTTTCTTCAAAATCATAAGCTATACTAAGTAATTATATGCTTACCTTCGAAATCAGATCAAAAAACTTCAGTTTCTGCTTTGGGCAAATTGAATTCTTCCATACTGGAACTTCGACTTTCTCCAATTAAATGAAAATTACCAGCATATCGACGTTATTGATGGATTGCAGAGAATGCCAGGGAAATTTTCGTGATATTTTTGGAGAGTTTTTGGTGAATCTGTTGTTTAGAAAGAGAGTTTTTGTGTAACCCGTTTTGTAGGGAGAGAAAATCTCGTTTGATTATGGTTGGAAAATAAAAAATGTCTTTAATTATGGCATATTAGTAAGTTGTAAGAGATTATAATTTTTTTATCCAAATTTAACGTATATAACATTATATTTTTATATATTTAATATTTTCAATTATCACCTGAATTATGAAAGTTTTAAGGAACTTTGTTAATTGTGAAACATGTTTATATAATATAGTAGATATGTGGTTATCCCTTTATTTAAAGTCAATTCAATCCAACCCAACCCAATCAAGTTTGGGTTGGTTTGGGCTTCGGTCCAATTAAAGTTAGATTCGATTATATTTTTGTTAAATTTAAATAAATTTTTAAAATTTGAAATTACTTTAAATTCTTTGGCTTTTTTTTTTTTTTTTTTTTACAATTTTTTGGGATTTATTCATTTCATCATCATCTTTTTAATTTTTACTTTATTATGAAATAACAGTTCATTTGTAAATTATGTTTATAGGAATCAATCTATATAAAAAAAATGGACGTTCATAAATTATAAATCATTTTCATATCTTTACTATTGTTTTTATTTATGTTTTTTTTCATCTTAGATATTATTTTTTTTAATTCATCGGGTTGGGTTGGGCTGGGTTGGGTTTTAAATCATAACCCGAAATCCAATCCAACCCAAGCTCAAAAATATTTTTTCAACCCAATCAAACCCAATTAAACTTAAAAAACCAACTCAAACCGATTGGGTTAGTTTGGGTTGATCGGATTGAGCAGGTTGGGTTGGGTTTTACTCAACCCTAGACGCGACGATAGGTGATGGATGTGACAATGTTGTAAAATTTGAAAAATTAAAATTCGACAAATCAAATTTTGGTGACTTATTTACAGATTTTTTTTTTTTTCAAATAAAAAAAATCATGATTTTAGTAGCTGAAAAGTCAAACTCACACATCACAAATGACAGAGTGGCGAATGGCGCGACAGTGGAACCGCGTTTATGCTGTCCACCGCTCCATCCGAAGGTCCATATTCAGCTCCCAACCAATGTCAACCGTTGATCTAAGTCCCAACCGCCCACTCCATGAATCTAGCCATAATACCATCCAGAAAAATGGCCACTTTGCCACTTTTATCACTTCCTTCCTACTATATATATTTGCCATTTTGGTCATTCACATTTCACCCCTCTTTCTCCATCTATATTCTATATCTGCTACAATTTGAGGTTAGCCCTTCTCTCTCTGTGAGTTTGAGGTTAGGTGTATGTATATGTTTCTTCTTTGACTGTTCTTGAATTGTCTATAAGAACTGGGTTTTGTTTATTCTTGCTTTTTATTGAGATTTGAGAGTGTAACTTTTTTTTCCTGTTGGGATTCACAGAGATGGAGACTTTCTTGTTCACATCTGAATCAGTTAACGAGGGACACCCCGATAAACTCTGCGATCAAATCTCCGATGCAGTGCTCGACGCCTGCCTTGCTCAGGACCCAGAGAGCAAGGTGGCTTGTGAGACCTGTACCAAGACCAACATGGTCATGGTCTTCGGTGAGATCACAACCAAGGCCAATGTAGACTATGAAAAGATTGTGCGCGATACTTGTCAATCCATTGGATTTGTATCTGATGATGTGGGATTGGATGCTGATAACTGCAAGGTCCTTGTTAAGTAGTACTTAATCCCCCTCTCTTTCACGGCCAAGTCTTTCCGGCTAAGGAAAGATGAATCCTGCGATACATTGGTAATGATCCCATACCAAATAACTGGTGCCTGGGAGTTTTTTTTTAATATTCAAAACATCAACACGACCTTAGTGGATTTTCAGGTGCCACTGGGGAATGTTTTTATTCAGAATACATATTTATTTACTTGAGTCTGATAGGCATGCAACAGTTTATAATCGCCAACGTTGCACTCAAAAAGTGGAAAAATATGCATACGAGGTACACGAGTGCATATTTTGGAATTCTGGAAATCTTCCCAGTCTCCAGAACATAGAATTAAACATATTATATAGCAAAGACAATAAAAGAAGTTACCTTCCAAAGTTCACAGATCTCTAGTAAAATACAAACCTGCCTGAGGAAGAAACAGTTACTCAGAAGCTCATATGTAGAGATCCCCACACGATAGCTGCAAATGGCTACAAAGTAGAGATTGACAAAACCAAATTCATTTGTGTATCGTAACTCTTTCAATAATTGCAATATCGTCCTGCCATGCCTCAAGATTATGAGACAGGTAGAATTTGGTTACATGAACAATTAATTATCGCCAAAGATCTAATCAGGCCACCTGTTACATCTTTTCTTCCCATACGCACCAATCAGAATGCTAAAAGTGCACGTTTCTGGTTCAACTGCGAAATTGCAAATCTCATTTTGAGCAAGAATTTTAATATGATCTGTAATGGGTAGGGTGGCAAAAATAATAATAGCAACTCTCATTTTGAGCAAGAATTTTAACAAGCATAGACAAATAAAATATTACCTAACTTGGTCACTCTATATTCAATCAATGTTACTTATTAGTACTTGCTGATTTCTACAGAACTTACAGAAATCAAGAACCAACCCTGTATAAATAACTAGTTTAGCTTGATCCATACTTCAATTGTTCCCACCTGAAGGGTTGGAACACATAAATAACTTCGGGTGAGCTTTTGAATAGCAAAGCGACACATACACAAACTGCAGCAATCGCAACCATAAAAAGCATAGCCGGTCGGTAAATTGCCAGTGATAATCTGGACGACCTACCACAACGCAGTTTCTGCTCACACTGCTGACAATGTCTCTCATTTGCTCTTCCTACCCCCTTCTCACTTTCAAAGGTAGCAGATGATTTTGCTGATTTTTCTGCATCATTTGGCACTTTGTGCTTGATGATACCATCTAAAAGAGTGCCTGGAATGTCAACAATGTGTCGATTTTCTGCTATCTTGTTGATTTTCCTCTGAACGAGATTAATATATGAGAAATGACCACGGAAACATGCATAATCGTAGGGCGTTAATCCTGTACTGTCTCGAGCGCCCTTCCATACTTCAATCCCCACCTGAAAAAAGAAGCAATAATGATCCTGAGAAGTTCTCTCTGAAAATGATAACTGTATACTATTTCCACAACAGTTGAAAGATGTGAAATATTAATCTGATTGATCAGATAGAGGAAGAGAGGGCAAGGATTGTACTAAATACGAAGGAAGCAGGCATGTCAAAAAATTGTACATCAATACGGCTAATGTATGTTGACATCTTCACTACTATAGTTCTATATTGCAGTGAAGTTGTGAGCCACTATATACAGCTACACAAAGGGTCATGTATGCCACTACTATATTGCAGACAAATAGAAATACTTGCACAGCTAGTGTATGAATGGAGTAGTTTCAGAGGTATGATTCAATTAGATAGTTGTTAGATCATTGAAATCAGAGAGGCACGTTCAGAGAATGCAAGAATTGAGACCAAAAATTTAGTTTGAGTGCAACTATTCATTCTTCTCAGTTTTTAGTCGGGACCATTCACACTTTATCTTCAGGTTGAGAGAAATTGTGCATAGGCATAAATATAAATAAAATTTCATTAACAAGATGAAGAAAGTACCAATCCAGGATCTTCAGTTAATGCATCTAAGACATTCTCACAGCCATCTAGACTAGCTGCTATATGAAGCGGAGTCAATCCTCCAGGACCCACTGCGTCAGGCTTAAATATATAGGAGTCCTCATCATGTTGCTTATGTTCGCATCCTGATTTGTTCAGAAATTCATCTTGATGGTATCTTAATAGGAGTTCTACCATCGACCGGCAATTTGTCCGTACAGCTCGATGAAGAAGGCCAATATCCATCAATGCAAGTGCAACGGATGTATGCTGCCCCGCATCCACATTACCACCATACAGAATATCCAAAAGTTTCCTAACTACAGCACACCAATTATGATCAACAGAGAACTCAACAAGCCACCTGAACCGTCTGAAAGAAAATGGATCCACGTTGGCGTTAGTTTCACCCAACCTAAACTTTAAGTGGATTTTATGGAGAAGCCAACCCATTTCATGTATAAATTCCAAAGCTTGGTTTCTAGCCTCTAGTTTATCAGTATCTCCCCCGATGCCACCAGAAACTTCAGATGCCTCAATGATTCTCTCCAGTGTACAAATTTCAGAACAGACGTCCTTCTCAGCAACAATGAATGGAAAGAAGCTGCTACTAAGACCATGATCCTCAACCTAAAAAATGGATGACAACCACAGTTCAGAACTCAGAGATATCAACAACAGTTGCAGTCCAAAGGCATAACTTGTGAGCAAACTATAAACTACATTTACATAGGCAACAAATGGTGGTGAAAATAAAATCACCTCAATGAATCCCCTTCCCATAAAACTGGGTACTGTGCAAGGGAAGCTAAGAGACTGCATCTCATCATGCTCAATTAGTGGATCTGCTTCTCCTGTGACTTTAGCACAACTTTCCTGGACTAGATATTTCCCTTCTAATGCACACAGTAACCTGGAATAGAAAATACAATTAACTTAAAATTGTTGTAAACACCTAGATTATTCTAGATCATGTAGTATACAACATCTTTAAAATCAAGATATCAATGAGATGTATGGAAAGAACACCTCGCAGTGAAGAGAGACAAGTTGAAGCCTCTAACTAAAAATTGAACCTTCTCTGAGACAGGAACCGCAATTGGCTTGATACTAGATATCCTGCAACTTCTATGGTTTTTAAGTGGTAAGAGTGTGTCTAGAACAACCTGACCTGAAGCGCAACCAATTAAAAAATTTCAGCCTTCCCATCCATATAATACTTATTCAGTTTCAAATATAAGGTATTAGAGGCGACACGAAGACTAGAAATAAGCAAACATACCATTATATATAAAAGCAACATGCTGCCTCACTCGAGCATAAATCCACCCTGTTCTCCAAAATGAATCAGTTGACGAATCAATAAGTCTCCTCAAACTGGAACTTAGATCACAGTGTAGCTGCAAGAAATAGTAACTAAAAAGATCAAAGGAAAATTTCCTATGAATGAGAGCATGAACAGCTTGGTACGGTATCAAATATAGTTGATTGTAGCCCAATTATCTACTAAACTATGTTCAAATTTCTAGCTCCTGAAGCCAAACTAAACCCCAATTTATGAATTCCATTTGCAAAAACCAGACCTCAATACCTTCTCAATGATTCATTCAAAACGTACTTGGCTCCGCTCATACATTTACAGCCTTGATTCACTCTAACTGGCTTCAGTTATCAATGACTCACGCCCTATACTTGGCTCAGACCACAGTTTACACTATAACTAGCAGTAAATAGTTATCTATAATTCTGCAATGAAGTAAAAATTACCTCCTCCCAAGTGGATTTATCTATTCGCAGATATATTGTCAATATGATGCAACCAGGTCTGATGTAGCTTTCTATGTCACCAGGACTGTGCGACAACCAGTCAAGAATCTGCATTAGCATTGGACAGGATCAAACTCTCAATCGTGAAATGCACCAGAAAATGACAACGTGAAATATTAGATTTGGCAACATACCTGTTTTCGTAGGGCAGGAGGAATTTCACTTGGATTTTTCCCGAAGAGTTTAAAAACAATTCGATCTGTGCGACTCTGTAAAATCATATGGAAAATTTCCATTAAAATAAAAATTCATTCAGACCCGGTAAAGATAACATTCTAAAAATCCACGTTAAACACAGTTTATCTCGGATTCGGATATATCTAAAATTTTCTTTAACAGAGCTCTCTATTCTGATATGCATCAACTCAACATTTGTAGATATCAACTCCTTTGCAGATGATTATCTTGTATATACCATCTTTCTTCTTTTTCATGACATTCTACTCTCTAATTTTCGAATTTTGAGGGTGCATTGCTTCTTATAAGTATCACTTTTTTCTGTAATGACATAATATAATGATTAGGAGGCAGAGAATCTTTTAGTCATGCTTAAATAAGGGTTGGAATATTGATAGCACTGCTGTTTACAGTGTATTAATATAAGCCATTCTTTTCTCGTATAATGATGCTACATATGTGTAAGTAGTACTAGGAAGATACCATACTGAAAATGTTAATATGCTGAAAGTGTGTTGTAAATTTAAATGGGAACAGGTCCATGGATTTGAATGACTCCTAGCTTATATAACACAGTTCATAACAGTCTTCTTCAACTTAACTATCACTTTAAAGGTAATAATAAATTCAATATAATGCAAGCAAAAACAGTTTATACCTGTGCCTCCCCACTGGAATTGGATGGTGACTGTGTGGATATAGAACATGAGTTTCCACTATTTTGAGGTGCGGTAGATGTGTGAGGGTCTGTATGTAAACATAAAGGACCATCAGAAGATACATTCCCAATATTTTGAGGAGCTACAGGGTCCAGTAGATTCTCTACATGGTCTTGAGAATCATCATAGACATTATTTAAGTCAAAGGTAATTGGTTTCGCCCTTCCCACCATCGCATCTGAAGCATTTGCTATGGATGAATTTCTTTCTTTCCACGGAAACAGAAATGCAGATTCTTTTTGTACATCACCGTCTTGAGCATTATTAGTAAGCATTCTATTTTCTCTCACACCAGATGCAGAAATTTTCATACGTTGCTCAACCGGCAAAGGAGGGTCCTGAAATCCAAAGCAATCAGAAGTTGACCTGAAAAAATGGTAAATTTGGGATAATTTGAATTTAGATTCAACACCTTTTCTGAAGTCTTAATAGATATCCCTGTATTTTTCGTATCCTCAAATCTAGGGGGCAATCCAGATGCGTCTCTCTCATTAATTGGCCCGGCAAGACTTGCAAGGTTTCTCAAAAGATGAGGGAGCAGATCCTGATCCTTCGTTTGATCTGAGTTCACTGAAATTCATAAAGAGGAGATGCTGTAAGGTGATTAAGTAACCCAAGTCCTGAAACTGTAGAAAATCTCAAAGAAAGAAAAAGAAATAAACAAAGAGCGAGAGAGAGAGAGGAAGTGTCATAATTCTGCTTAGTATGGTTTAAATGTCATGAATGACACAGAGATACTATAAAACTCGGCATTTTCTTCTTTTTATAATTCATTTCTAGATATATAGTCTAACCTCCTCAAGACTCTTGTACTGTACAAATTGTATTGTCAAATCTTCTTGATTATATAGTCAGTAGACATCCGTCTATGTACAATTACATATCAAAAATCAATGTTGAATATGATGGATTCTTTACTATAAGAACGGTATCCTTCTATGCTCCACACTTGACAGTTACCTGGTCTTGAAAGCAAAGTAATAGCACCATACATGCCTGGGATCTCATTGTTAGGAAGAATCTTAAATTCAATGTAAACTAAGACCATAATCAAATTATCTACTTGCCAACATCTCTTTGTACTCAACCCCTGACGCTCAAGCAGTATCATGAGGGAAGAGATGAACCAAGGTCGCAGAATAGACATAAAGCACATTCCGGTTGTTGGACATTCACAAAACCTAGAAAACTTGACTAAATTGGGTTGATGATCTCAGTTAAGTAACCAATACCTTTCACAATTTATAGTGTAAAAACATACAGCGAAATTTTTTTTGAAAGTACACAAGTTTCTCCAATTTGATGTTGTTCACATCCAAATACAATTTGGAGCCACGAAGAAAACAAGCCTCTAGATATTTGTTTGAAAACTTAGAAATTCAGTATGCACTATACCTAACTTCAACCTATCTTGTCTTGTATAACTGCAAATTATGATTCTTTTGACATAACATTGCATTACCCACAATTGCCTGGAATCGGATTTTTCAACGTTGGACACACAGAAGGTTATGCTGCAGTACTTAAAGTAGACAAAATGGACCGCAGCTAAACCTGGTAAATGTTTGGAAACCCTCAATTTGAACCTTCCTGCATTCTTTCATCTTGTCTACAGTTATGTAGTGAACTCCATTTTGATCAATTTTAAAGTTAATTTCATTATGTTTCTCAACTGGGAAATCCTTCAAAGAATTCCCAATTTGAGATCAACATCCAACAGCGCAAATGTAGCACGAATGACATACACTAAAAGAGACTAAGGAAGGGAATTAACAGCGATTTGCATAGCTTTCATCCTTGCATGGATACAATGTCTCTGAGCATGAATTTCTGTTTGCCATAGAAATTTAACATCTCAATACTACAACTCAGCTTTCCCTAGATAATTTTGCATCAATTAAACTGAATCTCAATTACATTGCTCTTGACTAACCACTGACTAGCAGAATGAGATTTTCTCAGCATGGTTATGCTTTCAGGGAAACAAGAAGCCTGATCCTGAACTTTAACTGCACAGCGCCATTGGAATATGAAATGGAAACATAAGCTAACTAGGAAAGCGTGTGTTGGGATTTCTCCACTCATCAACCTTTACTTCATCAATTTACTCACCGTGTTGTGGAAAAATATTGACTTTTTTTTTCCTTTTTTTTTTTCCCGACTATTCAGAACGCTAGATCTTGTCATTAAGAGCAGAAAGATACAAAATAAATAATCTTTTAGGCAGACGGTTGCTTACATTGTATATTGGAGAGAATCCTCAGGAGACTAACTAATAAATAATTACTACCCCGCTCATCATTTACAGAGGCTCCATTAGCTACATTCTCTGGATGTGTCTTCCTCCTCCTTTTGTTGTGACCTGCTAGTCGTCTACGACAACTCCGCTTGCCTTCGTCAAACTCTTGAAGCACATGAAACCTGCCAAGAAGTATTCATTTAGCACATATGCAGTTAAGCACAGTTTCCACAACAAATGGAAATTATAATGAAACCACAAACTATTTATGCATTCGAAGATAGAAAAAGATGGGCGGAATTTGTCTTTCCCCACCAAATTTTATGAGAATCCATAATAGACAGAAGCTAACCATCTGGAAAATAAATACACACTCACCAAATACGAAAGCTTTATTCCTGCTTCCAAGGTAAGAAAATAGAAAGCTAAAATATATCTGAAGGTAACCTCTGTTTGAAAACTGACCTGCTGCACTGCTGACAGAATCGCTGCATAACATTTCCCACCAAAGCTTTGGTGGTCTTAGAATGCACATCACACACTTTATGCCGTCGGTGATAATTTTTGGCATTGCTCAAATCTGCTCTACAATCCTCTACTTGACAAACTGCGCCATTAGTCAATGCACCAGCAATTTTACTCTTCTTCTTACTCTTCCCTTCCCATTTATCTACATCAACGTCCCCTCGTGTGATGGGATATACTTGCCCCCCAAGATTCAGATGAGGTGATCCACTTCCATCATTCACCTCTTCATTTTCAACATCAATAACCCTCCTCCTTTTCTCCAATTCCGTTCCTCTCTCATTTCCCAATGGCATTTCATCCCCATCCAGTGCATCATTATTAGCTTCAACAGGAAACAAATGTTCACTTCTACAATCTGCTACAGAATTTAATGGAGTGGCTGTACACAAATCGCCATCCCATTTCCAGTCATTCAAATCCCACTCCATTTTCTTCTTCCCCACAGCCTTTAAATCCGATACTGCTGGACCATAGACAAGATTTGTCTTTCCCCCACGCTTAGTTTCCATAATTCAACATACCATACACTCAGCACACCAAAGACAAAAAGGGAAAAAAAAAAAAAATTTGAAATTCCGCCAACTTAATTTCATCAAACCAACCTAGGAAAAAATCAAGTTTTTGTACAAATCCATAAAAGAAAACTGAGGTTTCAACACTAATTTGCCTGTAATTCAGCTTAAGTATTGGAAACAACGCACACCGACACACAAAAACAAGAGAAACAAACGAGTTCAATTCGCCTCAACTACACCTTCCCCAATATTTCACCCATAAAAGCAGTAAAATCAAAATCACAGTATATATGTAAATCTTTCTTATAGCAATTAGTGTGATCTGAAAAATTACAAGAAGGAAAATAAGAAGAAAGTATAGCTTGTTCTGAGATTTTATCCTTGGATCCGAAGACGTGTAAGCAAGCAGCTAGGATCGAAACGTTTAGAGCATGACAACAGAGAAAATGGTAGAAGATTTTCCTCAACAAATAAGAAAATTAACAGAAAATAATAATAAAATATGGGCTAAAAAGTGTTCAACATTTGTTAGTACAACAATATAAAATAAATGTAAAAATACTAGTACAGTTATTATCTTAAATTATGAGGCCATCCTCATGGAATCTAAGGCCCACGCTGCAGTCCCTGTCTTTTGCCATATCTCACAGTAACAAATTCGGAAAGCTCTTCCTTTTACTGCTGAATTCCTATTCCAAGGCAATGTTCTTCTCCCTGTACTCTTTGCTTTCATCTTTGAAATTTTAGGATTTTAGTTTGTGCGCTCCCGAAATTCACGAATAACTCGACATTGTCAATACTCAATAGGTTGTTCATGTTGGCGTTACCGTCCATGCAAGGCATTGCGGCAGCCGTTTGTATCAGTTAGCTTAACATATTTATTATAACTAGTTGTTGTCACGTGTATTGCACGGATTTTGTATTTATTGTATTTTTATTGATATATAAATTTTAATTTTTTGGAAAAGCTTTTGAAGCAATATCTAAAAATATTTTCATAATATAAGAAAATAATTGTAAATTATTTTTACAATTACATAGCAGTATGTTATCTAGAAAAAATATGTTTGTATATTTCATGTTTGAATAAGAAATATACAAACTGTTTTGTTTGTATTCTTTGATAGTGTTGATATGATTGAATTGAATGTGAAGATTATATTTCTAAATTTTATATAATTCAATATTGTAAAATTCAAAAAAAAAACTCTCCGCACAGTGAGGAGAGAGTTGAATCAAGTGCGGAGTAAAAATAAAAAAAAGGTGCGGAGAGAAAAAAATATCTCCGCACAGTGCGGAAAGAGTTGAACCATGTGCAGAGAGTTGGCAAACTCTTCGCATAGTGTGGAGTAAAAAAAAAAATCTTCGCACAGTGAGAAGAGATGATAAACCAACTCTACGCACAGTACGGAGAGCAAAAAAAACTCTCCGCACTGTGAGAAGAGAGTTAATCTCTTCACATGGTGCGGAGAGTTGGTCCGCACCATGGCAAAACTCTCTGCACAGTGCAGAGAAAAAACTTTTCGCACAGTGCGTAGGGAGCTGAACCATGTGCGGAGTAAAAAAAAAGTGTGGAGAGAAAAAAAACCTCTCTGCACAGTGCGGAGAGAGTTGAACCATGTGTGGAGGTTGGCAGACTCTTTGCACATTGCGGAGTAAAAAAAAAAAAATTCGCACAATACGGATAGTTATTTTCAAATTCCTTAATTACGAGTCAAATTTCAAAATTATAAATTTTTTGTATATACAATGAAACAGAGTCGAAAAACATGACTCAAAATCAATTATGTTTTCTTTAAATTCCAGTTACAGCTCAATTTCTAAACATGCAAATCACATTCATGGTATTGGAAATGAGCTTTCTCGTTATTCATACAATAAAATAATATGTGAATTGTGCAAAAAATGAGATGTTAATAGTACCATCAAATTGCTTTCACAAATGGAGGATTTAGGGTACCGCCCAAATTCAATATTTTACACTTGTTTCATAACAGCTCTTAGACATTAGAAGCAGATACAATTTTCAATGAAATTATACTTTCGGGTTGTAAGCCAAGAATTAAAGTGTTTAATGCATTGCTCAAAAGTTGTTTAAGAAAAGATCTCTTGAAACTTCCAGATAAAGTCTCGAGAGTTTTTATTTTTCTCTTCACACTGTGCGGAGAGATAGTTTGTCATTTCTCTGCAATTTGCGAAATCTTTTTTTTTTTTGCTCGTGTGCTGAGATTTTTTTCTCATGGAGTTTATATATACTAAAATTATTATTATTTTTTTAATGTTATTGACATGATGCATGTGTGGAAGAATAATTGCTAACCACCATAAACAAAATTCTTCACAAAAGGTAAAAAATAAAAATGTATAATAAATCTTCTTATTACGCTAATAAAATTACAATAATTTTTTTTTTTTTACAAATAACTATAAAAAACACATTTAAAAATTAGCAATTTCATAACCACTTTTTTTTTAATTCTTGAAAATATAATTATAAAAAATGAAACAATATTGAATTACAACATTTAATATTTAAGAAATTCAATATTAAATAAATTTTGTACATTTATAACAAATTATAAATCCATATATGTAGCTTACCGTATTTACAGGTAGCTTACTGTATATGCTGCCTACCGTATTTGCAGCTTACCGTATTTGCATTCTACCGTATTTGCAAACAATTTACCGTATTTTCACTTTACCGTATATGCTGCCTACAGTATTTGCAACTTACCGTATATGCTGTCTACCGTATTTGCAGCTTACTGTATTTTTATATATCGATTTTTGCACTTACAAATACCTAAAATGCAGAACACCATACATTCACTTACTAAACTGAAGTTCAAAATTTTTTCCAGATTTTTATTTTTTCAACAAAGCATAAAATAAATATTAAATATATATGAAGCACAAAACATAAATGCATATGAATATGGTGCTCAATCTTTAATTTTAAAATATTGAATTACATAAAATTTAGAAATATAATATTCACATTCAACTCAATCATATCAACATTATCAAAGAATATAAACAAAATAATTTGTATAATCTCGTATATTTCTTATTTAAGTATGAAATATACAAGTATATTTTTTCTAAATGACACAATATTATTATGCAATTGTAAAAATAATTTGTAATTATTTTCTTATTTCATGGAAATATTTTTAGATATTGCTTTAAAAATTTTCCAAAAAACTGAAATTCATACACTAATAAAAATACGATAAATGCAAAATTCGTGCAACGCATGTGACAGTCATTGTGCGGAGAGAGTTTTTTTTTTTTTTTTGGCCTGTTTTTTTTTTTTATTTCGCACTGTATGGAGAGTTTGCCAACTCTCCGCACCGTGCGAATTATTTTTTCTTTTTTTACTCAGTACTTTGTGAGGATAGTGTCCGCACAAAATGTCATCTCTTTGCATTGTATGGAGAATTTTGTCATATTGTTTGTCATCTCTCCGCACCGTGCGGAGAGATTTTTTTTTTTTACTTCGCATTGTACGGAGAGTTTGCCAGCTCTCCGTACATGGTTTGCTATCTCTCGGTACTATGCAAAGAGTTTTTTTCTTCTTTTTTTATTCCGCACGTGGTTTGTCATCTCTCTGCACTGTGCTGAGAGTTTATTTTTATTTTTTTTAAAACTCACGTACGAAGAGGTTTTTTTTTTTCCTCATGGCAGTTTATATTTACTAAAATTGTTATTATTATTTTAATACTAGTAATATGATGTGTGAAAGAACATTTGTTTCATATAAACAAAATGAAAAATAAAAAATGACATCATGTATAGTAAAATTGAATTCATTTATTATTGCATGAATAGTAGATCATCATTCCCCTTTTTATTAAAAGTTAGACATAACTCAGAAGGTGGAATATTGGTTTGCTTAGTCAGCTCTTGTGTACCTGATATCGCCCCCATATAAAATATATTGAGAGAAGCTATCTGGATTTCTTGATAAAACAAAAATCTTTTAATTATATTTGAAATATTAATATTAATATTTTTCAACGTCTCAACTCTTGACTCTTTGTGTTTCTCAGTTTCTCTAACATACGAAAAATATAATTGTGTACTTCTTTTCGTCTCGACAAAGAATTGTTGAATAATACAGTAAAGACGTATAAGTAGTTATGTGTAGAGGTAAGTGTAAACTAGTAAATCTTTTTAGTATTATTAATTCATACTTATCCAAAACGACATGGATTATTATGGGCCCTAGATAGAGTTTTTGGACCACTAACACAATTCTCAAATAATTGTATAACTAATTTTTGTATGGGCAACTTACAAAAATACCCTTAAAATTAGAAGTATTTTAAAAAATCATATGAAAAGTTTTTTAGAAGTAAAAAATACTGTGTAAAACAAAAAGTGACACAATGTCACTTTTTTTTAATAAAAATTGTTACTTTTTTTTAAAAAAAAAAAAGTAAAAAAAGTGACACAAAGCAACATGAGAGTAGTGTCAATTCTTAACATAAGCAATATGTTCAAGACAATCCACATGCTAATTATGTTAGGAAAATATAACATAACATGTCACTTTTTATCTTATTAAATAAGTGACAAATTTAAAAGGTGATGAAAACTCAAAAAAAGTGACAATGTCATTTTGAAAGTTTAATGTCACCCTTTTATTAAAAAATGACATACAATGTCATTTTTATTAAAAAGTGATGTTTGCTACTAAAAAAAAGTGATAGAAATTTCAAGAACACGATTGATAAAAAAGTGACATACACCAAAAAAAATGACAGAAATTCAAAAAAGTGATAAATACTAAAAAAAAGCGACAAAAATTTAAGAAGTGATGAAAATTTAAAAAAGTGACGAAAATTTAAAAAAGTGACGAATTTAAAAAAAATGACACAAATTTAAAAAGCTACACAGATTGAGAAAAAGAAAAAAAAAAGTGACAGAATATAAAAAAGTGACAAACAGTCAAAATAGTGACGTAAATTAAAAAAAGTGACGAAACATCGATCAAAATCTTAAAATATATCATTTTATGCAAATTCAATCCAAACTACAGCTGAAAATGCCCAATAATTAGCTGCATAAAATTGATTCAATGCAAACACAATCATTACAAACATAAATACTTTTTAAGCCAGAACAAGGTATTGCCACAGAAGCATCAGACAAGAAACACTCGAATATGTTATTTCATCTCAAGTTTTTGGTTTAGAACACAAGTTCTCTTCTCAAGTTTTTGGTTTATAACGCAAGTTCTTACTCAGTGCCCAAAGTTCATATCCACTCGTTTAACTCTCACCTCTTCTTAGCATACTAAAATGGACGAAATGCCAATTTCTTCAGTTCAAATGCATAACTGGATTTCAAAATTTCACTCTTGAGTTGCTAAATGCCAACTCGTCAAGATCATTCAATGATACTCATTAGCAATTCAATAATCCAAAACACCAATAACATATCTTTCCAAAAGATTTTACAATTCATCCAACATTCTTCTAAAGTCACGAATCAGATGTTAATCTGTACCGAACATACGAATTAAACAGAAATATTCAGCATAAGCAAAATAAATCAAATGGAACAAATGATATTAAACATGGGTATAATCTAAACTCATTATGTCTGTACACAGTTTTTTTCTCCCAATTATCATGTAATACGAAAATCATCATTCCATTTTTCTAACCACAGAAATTCGGTAATATCAAACCCTCCAAAAAGGAAAAAAAGAAAAGAAAAAAGAAACCAGATGACACCAAAATCTATAATCATTTTTCAGCGCAAAATCACATGAAATCAAGAATCATGGGACAATTAATCTATAATTCTCGTTTTCAATCTTCTTACTCTCCTTGTCTCCAATAAATCAGCACAAATTGGCCCAAAATCAAGAAAACAAACATAGACAAAACAAGATAGTAAGGGAGAGAAGAATGCGACATATAAGCAAAACGGAGATCTTACGGTTGGATTTTCGGCCGGATTTTTGGGTACGATTTGGGGCTTTCCAAGGTTTTGGGGTTTGGGATGTTTGAGCGTATTAATTACGAAGAAAGAATTTTAATTAGTTTTTGGGGCTAGTATTCTAATTCGTTATATTTGGAGGGTAGTGAACCTAATTACCTCTTTTTGTATTAGGTAGCTTTTAATCCAATAATTCCAAGTACGCCCCAGTTTGGTTTAATAAAAAAAATAATAAAATGTGTGATTGAAAATTAATAATAAATATATGATCTGTGAAATTTTTCGTTGGAATATAATATTTGAGGAAAGATAAAGTTTAGAAACAATATTGCTATTTAATTAATAAATAAGTTCAAGGACGTCTCATCCGAAGAAGAACGACCTACAACTACGAGATTACTGATCCTCTTCTTGTTTTTTAAAGTGCACGAAATTAAAAGATCACAATATGATATTTATACATTGTACGTATAAGCGTATATATTGGCAAGAGCGTAGGTATTTGGCAGTTTCAGACTAACAAATTGGTTGGGGAGTCATGTGAAAAGTATGGACGAACAAAGGTTGTGCCAAATATTCATAATATTTGTTCTCTTATCTCGAATTAGTTAGTAGATAAAGCAGAATATAAAGAAAGAAAGTAAATGGATGGGTCCATCAAGCCGTGCCCAAACACTACACGGAACACAACAGTGGTTTGCACATGGGAATGGGGGTATATATGTGTATATACATTTGAAGTCAAACATCAATAAAAAGTTCAAAACATAGTACATGAATTTAAGGACCCACAACCAATTAGACAATTTCTAAGTCATAAATATGGCTGGACCGCATTCTGGTTCGAATAGCTATAGTGGACCAGAAAGAATTAGGAATTTCCAGAAGGTGGGACAGTGATGGCAAAATTCCTTGTCCCTATCTGCCCAAATTGGACGGGTAATCCTCGCCCCGAATTTCCCGTACCCACTTAAATCTTTTTGTACAAGACCTGAAGACTAAAAACCACCCAAACCAGGAAGATGGTGAAGATAAAATCAAGATCTCCCACTAAAGTAGAAGTTACATTCATAACTAGGGGTGGGCTGTGGGAATGGATTGGGTCGATTTTTTTTCCAACCCAATATAATTGATTTGATCTAAAATCAAACCAACGTAACCCAATTAATGGTCTAAACCTATGATCGGTTTGCACTTTGACCCAATTAAAATTGAATCCAATTACTTTTTTGTTGAATTTGGATAAATTTTTAAAGTTTAAAATTACTTGAAAACCTTTATTTTTTTAATACCTATATAAGGAATTCTTTATGAAAAATAAAATATAAATAAGTTCAAAATTTATGAAGCATTTTCTTTTTTACAAATTTTTTTGGAATTTATTCATTTCATCATCATGTTCTTAATTTTTAATTTATTGTAAAAAAAAAAAAAATCATTTGTGCAAAGTACTCAAGTGAATCAATCTATGTAAATAAAATAAACGTTTATAAATTATAAGTCCTCATATATCTACTATTGTGTTTATTTAGTTTTTTTCCCCTCATTTTAGATATTACTTTTTTTAATTCATCGAGTTGGATTGAATTTTAAATGATAACCCGAGACCCAACCTAATTTTTTAATTCAAATTTAATTTTTTAACCCAACCCAATCCAATTGAACTTAAAAAACCAACTCAAACCAGTCGATTTGGTTTGGGTTGATTAGGTTAGGTTAGTTTGGATTGGGTTGGGTTGAATGTTGCCTAGCCCTTCATAACTAAATATCTGTAACATATATGTCCTTGTTTGAGCCTCATTTTTGGGTAAGAATGAATTTTTGAATAATGTATTAATGGGAAATGTATGGTTAAAAAATAAGAAAAAATTTTGGATTTGCATGTAATATTATTTTATTAAAGAATGTTTGATTGAAATGATATCAAAACATTGTTGAAAAATATATTTTTCCAGAAGAACGAGGCTCAAGCCTAAATGAAGGACTGCACCCGAGTAACTATCAGATATTATGTACAGAAAACGCTTGTCCTAATAACATTTCTCTGGTGAAAGAAAAGAAATGTTTTAACTAATGGAAACACAGAATGCATACTTAAGAGCGAGGACGGTAAATATGACCTGAGACACGAAGAACTGATGCCTGGACCGTATAAACTATTAACACTTGAAAGGAGCAGTGTATGTTAATAGAGAAGTGCTAGAGTGACAGGCCTTTGGACGGGCCACCTCCGCCCTGTCACCTGGGCCTCTCCAAAAGGCCTGTTAGAGTAGCAAATTTCATGTTAATATTCTTGATAGAGCTCTGAAAAATGAAGCAATTTGATAAAATATAGCATCGTGAAAAAGGAAAAAAAAAAAAGGAATAAAGTTGATACATTCAAAACAGGTACTTAATTCTTGAAAGTAACTTTAAGATTAGCCAGACATTCTCTAAAAATTTACAGTGTCTAAGAGGAAAGGTACGCTATCAGACTTAGGACAACAAGTCTACTAATTGTTAGCCTAAAATGTGAAAACTTGGAATATCTTCACATAACAAGAGGTGAGAGCACTTAGTTGCTACTGGCTTTCAATCTCGACCTGCTACCAGTCAATCTAAAAGAGGCCTTGCTTGGTCATGACCAAGACATACCGAGATGGAGACGGAGCAAACTCATACTTTCCTAGGGTTTGCCTTGCCTCAACATATGAATAAATATAGGGAGGTTGCCCCCGGGGCACAGCTCAACTGGTGGATCAATCAACATTGTCTTGCTTCCAGCGGTAGGGTGGAGAGTTCGATTCCTGGTGGGAACTAGCGGCCAAAAATTTGGTATGGAGCAATCACTGTGGAGGAGGGTCTCTTGTGCGCAGAAGTGTACAGGCAATGGGGGGAACTTGTGATCCAGTTGAGGCATAACCCGCGATTTTCCCCCTCCAAGGTTCTAGGGGCAAAGGTCTTGGGGGTCCAAGATTTAATCTGGTGTAAGTTGGGATGCCTGGATATCAAAAAACAAATATAGGGAGGTAGCTGAAAAAGCCAGCAGCCCAGCCTCTTCAATAAAGCTTAGCTTGGTAGGCACTGCCTACTCAGTCGGACAATGCAAAAGTGTGCAGAAACAGCTTCCTATATAATTTTTTCTTTCCCTCTGATGCCCGTAGAGATTGTCATTCTGGATCGGTTGTCAGTTGATTCCACTATATTTTTTAAATTCAGTAAACACTACAGTATAATTCCAAGAATAAAGAAAAATTTATGAGAGAAAAAGTTGGATGTTGTACACATAAGCCAGATGCTATTTCTAGAATTTTATAGATCAAGGTATCTTCCTTTCTAAACAACAGTAGACGAAAAGCATTAACTCTCTAATCTCAAAACAATTCTAGAATCTAAATTCCTGAAACTCCCAGTCCTCTAATTCACTTCTGGTCTTCAAGTTCATTAGCTTTGTACTTTCTTAACGCCAATTACCCCATTGAGAAACAAGGTCATTCAATGGTGCAAACTCTGAATTAATAAAGCAAGACCAAAGCGATGACTCTGAAAATGATCATAACAGACATTAATATCCTTAAAAATCAGATTTACCGCAGAAATATGATTTATCTAATGGTATAACATGGATTCGATGACATATTGCCCCCAACCAATACTTGAAGTTCGTAAATCTTTTCATGTTCCCACCAAAAAATAGGAGTCCAAAACAACATATTGGCGTGCAGGAGATTGAAAACACGAATCAAAAGACAAACAAGTTTTCTTAATCCATAAAGAACAAAGCAGAATGCCAATTTTTTCTTTTTTCCCATTATTTTGATGCATGAATCAGCACAGCAAAGAGATTAAAAATTCATACATCACTAAAAGTAAAAAAGAGGGCAGTAGTTGCAATTTAAATTCATTGAAAATCTCTTGAAACCCCACCAGCATTACTTTATGAATTGGATGATGATCTGGAATCTTCCTCCGCTTCTTTCAGCATCAAAAAGGCGACCCTGTCCAATGCCTCTTTAGCTCTCTTTCGAGCCATCACGGCCTCCGACGCTCTCTTCTCTGCATTTTCCCTCGCAATAACGGCCGCCTTATTCATTGATATCAAAGCAATTTTGGCTGCGGCCACGAATTGCTTGGCTAAATCCTTAGTAATCAAGTTGCCATTTTGAACATCACTGGCATTCAAATCAAAAAAGGTGAAATTGGGAATGGAACATTGAGGGCAGTGATAGCGAGTCGCGGAGGATGAAGAAGAAGTAGGAAGGGAGTAAACGCAAGAGATGTGGGCTACGGCGGGACACCGGAGGCACATGACGCGGAGGTGCGGTGGAGGCAGCTTGGTATCCTCGTAGGCATCGAAGCAGATGGGGCAAAACGACGCAGCGTGGTGGGCTAGAACGCACGCCGTGCATAGCTGGCTGTAGATGCCCCGGTACCAGAGGTTGTGCAGTGTTATCGGATCCTTCGACCCGCATTCACCGCATTCCATTTGCTTTGTAATGCCCATCACTTTTGCAGTCTTTGCATTTGGGATTTGCAGATTTTGGTATATTAAAAAGGGCAAAAACCCAGAATCTAGAGAGAATGCGACACGGCAGTTGAATTTTCTTGGCCTTTTTCCTGGTTGTTACCTACTATTATCACTATTGTGGGTAAATTGTAAATAGGTCACTTGGCTTCAATTTGATACAATTAGGTCGCTATATTTTAATTTATTAGCGATTAGATCACTTCATTGGGTTCCATCGATGAGCTTGCTAACACGTCCGTCACGCCTAACTATGTGCCAACGTATCAAACAAATTTTCACGTCAACTCATTTAAAATTGCAATGAAACTCACGTGTTACCGTATTGAACATTAATTTTACATGCACTTAGATGGTTAAACATCAATTTGGTGCAATCACACTCTTTATTTCCAATTTACAAGCAACTAGATCACTCCGTTTGGTGAGAATGAGAGATAATTGTAGGTTTTCTTCCAGACTTAGAGTCAACTAGATTGAATATGAATTTTCGATCAATCATAAAGTCAGTGGGCCAATGTGGAGAAAAATTAATCTCCATATATCAAAAACAACCTTAGCATCAAGAAATTTCACTGGAAAAATATTATTATAGGCTGACGATTATATGGTTCTAAAGTGAATAGGAGTTGCGAGTCCAATGAAATTGACGGTTAAAAATGCAATTCTTGTCATAACAGAATTTTCCAGGGTCTTCATCTTCCTTTCAGTACACAGCATCTTTATGAACAAGAAATTTCCCGTGGCCCCCCTGGAACGTGGAGAGGTATCAGCAATTCCAAAAGGGGATAATACAATCAAGAAGAGGTCGAGAAAAGAGACATTCTACCCCTTGGTTTCTACTTTCTTGATTCCTAGGACCAAGAGGGACTTGAAATTAACAGATAAGTCGATAAAGGAAACTTTCTTAACAGCTAATTTACATCCACGAATTGATTATCATTTTATGCGGTATACTTTCTGAATAGAATTTATCTCAACAAATTTTCATTATAAAATTGTGTCCTTTTAAACTAACTGGAAAGATTGAGCCAATTCAACATGGTGCATTGTGCCAAGGACACAAGTAGTCAGATAAGAAATAAATTCATTTGAATAATTGAATTCAAGTAGAATCTAAGTTCCCAATTATTTGTGGATTATAATAAGATGAATAGTATTTTTTTGAAAAATGAGTGATTGAAAAGTTTTTGATTTATGTGTAATATTATTCTATTGAAAATTGTGTGGTTAAAAGTAGGAGAGAGAAAAATTTAATTTAATGTAATGAAAAAGAATAATGTTATTTGCAATCGTTTACTCAATGAGAAATAATAGAGCTCAAACGGGAGCTAAGTATGCATACAAGAGCAAGTACAGAAACCCGTACTTGGACTTTCACCCACATCAAGCCCACGTTTGGTAATAATTTTTCACCAAAAAAATTTGATTTTTTGATTGTTATTTCACTATTTCAATAGTCATTTTTTTACTTTTTCACTCATAAATGAGACCCACTTTTTTCTCTAATAGTCAAAAAATTAATTCTCATAATCACTATCGAACAGACCCAAGTCCCTTGCGGAGTCAATTTTGTAAACCCAAACATTTTTAACTGTTGTCTGCTCAACACACGTGTCCAGGCATCTTCTTACCTTTAAATACCTATTCAAAGAACCAACTACAACATCAAAAAGTCACTGGGAGTTTCCATGATTGTTGATGACAGTAAAGGTTAAACTCTAGCCTTAAGGGTCCTCCACCACTACTGTCCAGGATGATGACAGTAAAGGTTGATGACAGTATATTATTACTCGAGACGTCAAAGGCATATATAATATATAGAAACAAAAATAAATCTTGAAACCAACGTTGCGTGGCATATTGGCTCCTCGGATTATTCTTGTTTGGTTGCAGCTATTTTTATCTCAACAAGCAATTACTTGATTTCATAACCAAATAATCATATCGTAAAAAGCTAGATGAGTAGTTGACCAACTCATGACCAATATGAACTCAAAGTATAAAGCAATTTTGGTCGCCATGGTGACATTGACTCTCTATTTGATTTTCATTATTTTTAAAACATATTTTTTATTCTTTTCTTTTTAACTGCACATTTTTCAATAAAATAATATTATACAAAAATCTAAAATTCTTCTTTATTTTTAACACACATTATCTATCAATCTACTATTTTACATTCTTGCACTAAATTGGGACTCAAACATGCTCAAAGTATAAAGTACAATGGCCATAGTGAAACAAAATAAATTTGGATGGCCGTAGTGACACTAAATAAAGTAAATATAAAGAAGAATATATTAAGCCCTTTTTCGATCCCCATTATTTGGGAAAAAATGTATTTTTCTACAGTGTTTTGACATCATTTCAACCACACATTCTTCAATAAAATAATATTACATATAAATCTAAATTTTTTCTTTATTTTTTAACCACATTTCTCATCAATACACTATCCAAAATTCATTTTCTCCTCTCAAACAAGGGCAATGACTCAATACAAGTAATCAAGATTCTTTTGAAAATGGAAAAAAAAAATCTAATCTTTATTGGGTTGATTCCTTAAACAGTAACTAAACTTCGTCAAAAGCTTCCACGAGGATCATTAAACTTCAAATCCTCCCTAAATAGTCACCGGAGTTTGCAACTGGAATCCCATCCATCAATGAGTGAACACTAGTTGTGAAATTAGATGATCTTGATGATGTGTCTAGCGAAAAACGTGATGTGGCATGTTTGTGTACAATTTCTTGGACAAGCAAGCAAGTTGTTGATGATGTGGACAAATTTTATAACAACAATATTATGGAGACAGAATTTTTTTGACACAATGGATGACATACACTTACATTGCATGGGGGCCCTTTTTTTTTTGGACTTTTTTACTCACATAGGGCCCACATGCTCTAAGAGGATGTCAATCATTATATCAAAAAAAATCTGGCAAAGTAGTTTAATTGATTTTATAAAGTTGCATTTCCAAAACGTTTTTAACTTTTAAAAAAATATATCTAAAATCAATTGAATTAAAATAAAACCAACTAAATACTCCCAAATCCAATCACACAAAATCGTGTACTCTAATTTCAGCAACCTACTTATTTGGCCAAGAAATTGTACACAAACTTGCCACGTCACGTTTTCCGTTGAACACATCAACAAGATCATCTAATTTTCACAATCGATGTTCACTCAATGATGGATGGGATCCAGATGTACAAAGTTTAGTGATCATCTAGGAAAATTTGACGTTTAATGATCTCTTGGGGACTTCTGATAATTTTTAGTGACCATTTAGGGAATTAACCCAATTTTTATTAATGTCACATGTCTTAGGTGGGCCCACTTGCCCACCCACGACCTTGACATTTTAGAAAATCCTGCATCTATGTTGTCGGAGTAATGCTGCAGGGAGGTAGGAGGTCCATGGGTCATAAATTTTTTTCGAAGGAAAAACAATGACGATATCTAAAAAATAAGCATCAACTAACTCTATATCGTATTGATATAAAAAGTAAATTCTTTATTGGTCTCCATTGTACATAACAAAATGGATAATGCGAACACCGTATGGCGTACACAACCCCCCTCCATGTGAGGGGGTGTAAGCCTGTGTGTATACTATTGTGTACACACAGCACAACCCTAACAAAATAGATGTATAGTTTGAATATTTGCTTAATCTCTATAGATGCTGAAGATAGAACTCATTTTTCTCCTTAAGAAGAAAGATGAAAAGGCTGCTGGAGACGCAATATTGCAAGTATAACATACACCTGCTACATTTTTTAAGAACCGCAGATAATGTAAGCTGAAAGCTCATTTGAATAATATGCTGTTCGACATTTACAAACGAAATGCTCAGTTCCATCCAATGCTTCCATCTACTGATGTTTACCGCCCTAATATTACTCCCAGCATTCTGTTCTCTCGGCCAAGCAGCTCACTAAATTCTTTGCCATTGGACAGAAACAATAGAATAAATGCTCGAATGATTAATATTCCTTGACAATCTGATTTATTGGCATCATCGTTATCTATCCAATTGTCATAGATCTGTGGCTAGAAGCTCCTGGCTTTGCAGTACACCCAAATCACTAGATAGCTTTTTGCACAGCTGCAAAAACCACCAAATACCCTGACCATCAAAATTATACAGGCCATGAAAAGTTGGAATAGAGATGACTACTCGAGGACTACCTGTCTGTATGATATAGGATCACCATAAGATTTTCGCAACTCAACTACATGCAAAGATGGGCTTATCTCGAATACCTGCAATAAGAAGAAATTATCAGCATAGGTTGAATTTAGAACAGTAATGTCATGTGCTAAAGCATCGTCACTATAATAGTACTTACTTCTGCTACTACAGACAGACTACCAGGGCTTTTCTGACCTTTGTGCTCTTGCATTACTTTCAACTACACAAAGTGACGAGTACAACTACATAAGTAGCAAAACATGATAAGATGACATCTCCTAGAAATTACAGTCATAGATGAAGATACCTACTCAATTTCCACCGCAGTAAAATTGATGGCATTCAAATTTTACAAGAACATATTTGCTGAGAATAAAAGTGAGGTAATACTAACCTTTCCATTTTTCCTCTGGACTTGAAATCCCATCTGCGTTACCATATCTTCTATCCTTTCAAGCAATTCTCGTTGGGAGTGATTCGATGTGAATCTGATTTTCCTTTCAGAAACATCCTGAAGTAAACGCATAAAATAAATTTTCATTTTGTCAATTCTGTGTGAATGGATATCTCATTCACAGATGCATGTAATAACTTTGATATTTGTTCATATGTTCCTACCTCTTTCTCAAAGAAGCCAGAGAGATCTAGAAATGAGGACATTCCAATCAGCTGAAAGGCGTTGATGAGGGTGGGTGAATCTGGATCTTTCTCTGCATCTGAGGGCTATGTAATCGATAGAACTTATTAATTTTTCATTAAAAATTAATGAAGTAAAGCTAAGGAAGGATAGTAATAAAGGATAATTTCTTACCGGCTCATGAATTGATGATATTTCATCATCCGAGTACACATTTTCTTCTTCATCTTCTTCAACAGGATCTACAGGTACATACTCTTGTTTGAACCAATCATTTTCTTTTATCTCAGCCATAGTCATCCGAGTATGAGGATTGGGATCCAAAATCCTCTTTATTAGGTTTCGAGCTCCTGGGGACAGCCATTTGGGTATCTGAGCATCCCCTTTAAAAATCTGATATGCGAAAGAAAGATTACATATTGATGATTCCTCACATATAGAAAAAGAAAATCACAATGCCTGGAATATAAGGGTCAACCTTCTGATAGAGTACTGCCAGATTTCGATCATCAAAAGGTAGGTACCCTGTCAGAATTACGTATAAGATAACACCACATGACCAGGTATCTGAGGTGGCACCATCATATCCCCTGTTAGAAAGAATTTCAGGGGCAACATAGTTTGGACTTCCACAAGTTGTATGCAGCAATCCATCATCCTAATTTTTTAAAACAATTAGGTGATAGGAGAATATAAGCAAGAAGAGTCGGAATTTTGGACATTATACCCGAAAATGTTGTGGTAATGCACTGAGGCCGAAATCTGTAATCTTTATGTTTCCATTCACATCAATCAAAACATTCTCTAGCTGAATTTCAGAAGAAATTAAGTCAGAGAGTGACAAATAGCAGTATTTTTCGTGTTTGTATGTTCCATGACAAGATACTTATGTATCTGTCGTCCTCTCTCTCCTTTATATATATGTGTATATATATTTATTAAGATATTTTATTACCTTGAGATCTCTATGAAAAACTCCTCTGTTATGACAGTAACTAACACCATCGACTAACTGCTGGAAGAACTTCCTGCCTTCAGCCTCCGAGAGTTTTCCTTTAGATGACTGTAAACCATTACCATTAAGCAACATTAAACTTCAAAATCCAAATCCGAGATCATTCTGCAAGCAGATCTGTTTCAACTGTTTTGTATATGTTGCAAAATATACTTACAATTCGATCAAACAATTCTCCACCATTCACGTATTCGAGAACCATGTATATCTTGGTTTTGCTTGCTAGGACCTGGTTGTTCATTAACAAGAAGAAACACAAATGAATACGGCCCCATACAAATGATTAAAAGCTTTGACATCACTAGAAATTATTTATCCAATTTTAAAATGAACTTCAAAAATTGAAAGGTTCATTATAATCCAATAACATTGTTTAACTTGACTTTAAACCCAAACACGAATCATTTGAAGGCTGGAAGCAACATGGTAGTGTCTTTTGAATATGTGGTATGTTTCATGGAGGAGGAGGAATTTTTTCCTCCCTAACTTTTGATTTGTCAATGAAATTTCATCCCTCAGCTAGATGCTTTATACTTTGTTAATTAGGCAAGTAAAACTGTGCATATAAGATCACAAGGTAAATTTCTACTACTCAAATGCTCCATGTCCCGGAAGCTCTATGGAGAAAACAGGACAAAGAAAGGAAAATTTGGTGAATCAACTCTGTCAGAGATATTTCTGGGGTAGGTAGTATGAAAGCCACTACATTACAAATTAATCTTTTGATGCATAAAGCATCCATGGTAATAAGTCACTGTAATGTCAATTCAGTATTTAGCTGTGATTTCAATGTCATCACATGTCCGTCAAACTTATCTACCAATTGTGTAGACTGCAGTACAAGATTACAAATCAGGGACCGCCAACCACGTGCGCCATATTATATAACTACTAATTAAGGCATTAATTCTTATCTAAAACAAGAAATTGAGGTACTAATGATAAACAAGATGAGATCAGAAATTAGAATTGCATCTGCTCGGATTAACAAATTGAAGCAAAGAACTAGGCCCCACCTTGCCGTGAACCTCTGCAGTTTTCGTTGTTAAAATCAACAGTGAAAAACCAAGTTAAAGGACCACGATAAAAAAGAAAAAAGAAAAAGGTGATTGTTTTGAGTTGCTTAAACTTAAAAGGCTTCTGCAATCAACCCTTTGAAGGATCAGGATTCTATAGGATTTTTGAGACATTACGAGAAAAGAAGGAAGAATTCTACCTGAGAACGCAAAGAATCCATATCCATAAAGTGAGGTACAATTAAGAGTACTTCAGCATTTTTATTCGTTTCGTAATAATAAGCTCTAAATATTCCAATATAAATATATCGAAGAAAGAGAAAAAAGCGGCAGTAGAAATAACATCTTTTAGTTCTTTCGAAATTGATCGCGTATACACATACCTCATGTAATCTGACAACATTTGGATGCTTGAGGAGTTTTAAGGTTCCAATTTCTCTCTTAATCTGCACGGTTGAATAAAAAATTCCACGTCGTCAGTTCCTTTTCTGTCTAAAAATCATTTCGAGTGACCAGAAAAATTCGGTTACAGTAGTTAACATGCAAAACTAAGTAAGTTTCAATTCAGATATTCACAGAAAAACCCATCTATTTCAAGTTGTTTAAACATCAAATTGACATATAATAAGTAATTCTGATAACCAAAGAACATCGATGAATGGATACAACAAAAAAGAGAACAACTCATCAAATTTTTCGAGTAAATCAAAGGGAAAATTGTATGCTCAATAAAGGAATAACCTGATCGGTGATCTTGAGGTCAATAATTCTATTTTTCTCCAAGATCTTAATAGCGAATGGCTGGCCTGAATCCACGTTTTTTGCGTACTTAACTTTTCCAAAATTGCCTTCTCCAAGAGTCCTTCCAAATTCGTATATGCCCAGTCGCATTCCCTTCTTCTCCCGTTGTTTAATCTCTTCTACTTCCTCTTTCCCTTCTTGTATCAACACCATTCCCCAGTCACTAACAATCGCAGTAAAAAATCTACCGTTAATCTCTGAGTATTTCCAGAAAATCTGCTGCTTAATCTGCTTCTGAGAGTAATTCTGTATTTGGTTGGCCTTCTCAACCACAACTACTGGCTCACAAAATACAAATGGCAGAAATCTTTTAAGTACCTGTTTGGCCCACTTAAATTTTAAATTGTTTATACAATATCATTTTCCGTCGCACATTCACACAATAAAATATTTTACACACAAATAGTTTCTTTATTTTTTGAACCACACGTTCTCCAAAAATACTATTCTTTACTCTTTAATTTCTCAAATAATGAGTGACAAACGAGGGTTAAATTGTGCTAATCTTGCTATATGTACATTATGTTGTACACTTTAATTTACACTTTATCACGTGTCATTCTCCTATTGGACAATTTAAATTTCAAACAATTTTTTCATCCAATTAATACTTGACAACAATGCAAGTGTTAATCAAAGTGTCAAAAATCAGTGTACAAATAGCAAAGTTCAAATTGTACTATTTAATAAGAGAAAATTTCATACGACGCCCCATACTTTTCCAAAAGTTACAAAACCCTCCACAAATGTTTGTTTTCCACAACAGGTTCGCTCTTAAACGCATGCACTTTCAATTTTACCCTTTTATATTCTAAAGATTTAAACTACGTTTTTTAATTCCTTTTCTTCTTTATGAAGAAATAGTTTCATAAATTTTTAGTACTTAACTAATTATATTATTTGTAAATACTATTAAATAATAGCTTATTTCTTTACGAATAATTGGATATAGGGTAAGCAACCGAGCATGATCACTTATTTGAAAATTGGTTATATTTAAAATTAAATCTAGCATAATTTCGTCTTATCTTATCTTATTATATCCGTAGTAATTTTATTATTTAATATCAAATATTATCATTATCTTAATAAAAATGCAACAAAGTTGGCATCGAAAAAGAATTTAAATTTAATTTTTTATAATAAACTTGCTTTAAAGAATAATAGCCTCAAAATGCAGTCAAATTAATTCAGTGGCATTCTATCGAGTAATACTTAATGGTAGCAAATGATGCTAATAGTTGGATAACTTTATTTTTGTTTTCAGGGGTAAAGCAATCCTCCCATTCTATAAAATCGCTAAATGTTGTGAGATAAAGAAAACTTTACTTTTCCTTTTCTTTTTCGCTAAGTTTTGGATCAAAATTTTAACCTATCTCCGTTTGACCTTCAATTTTCTCAAACTCATTTTTAGCCCCCGTTTGTTTCTCATTTTTTGAAGAATGAAAATAAACCCCCAGCATGACTACCTGCTGCTAACTACCCGAAGATGCCTCTCTTCTTTTCGGAAGAGAATACCTTCTTTCGTAATCGAATAAGACTTTACGGAATGCAGCAGTACAGTTAAACTCCTTTCTCTCCATTCAAACCGCCCAGGTAACGATAGCTTCCGCCTTCCTTTTCTCGACAATCAGAAACAAATATACCCAGTATGAGAATGAAATTGAAGAGCAAGGCATAAGCATATCTTAATAGATAGTGAATAAATTCTATTTAAAAAATGAAACGAGTTATCACCATGTATACAATAGCTACGAAAAATATAGCCATTATGGACCCCACACAAAAGAGAGAAATTCAAATTTGATGGCTTGATATAATAGATAACGATAATATTTTTCATTTTAATGAGAATATAATGGAAACCAAACGGGGACTTAATTACACATTTCATGAAACGTGCAACTTTAAACAGCTTTTTAATTACATATTTTATCAATTTTTTATTTAAATTTAATTTTTAGCTCAACAAAAAATGACTAAAAGGAAAGTAGTGTAATTTCCACAACTAATAGACAATATACACGGGTCGGCATGTGCGGACGATTATCTTTGCGTGAATCCATAAATGATAAATTTGATTGGTCATCTCGAGGACTACGAGGATAAAACATTGTATGGACTAACCAAACTTTGAAATTAATGTTGCGTGGACCAAAATCAAGCTAAGTTAATGGAGGGGACCAAAATCATGTCAAGCTTTCATTTGAGGTCATTGAACTTTTGGAATAATCTCAATTGTTGACAATTCATTCATTTGTCCTATTGAGTTAACAAGCCATGGCTCATTTTTTTTTCAAAACTTTATTTTTCAATCACACATTCTCATAAAATAATTTTATTTTAACCACACATCCTCCAAAAAAACGACGACTCCAACCCGCAATTTCCCAAAAAAAAGGGGTCTGAAATGTCGGCTAATTTTTAAATTAATTTCAAATTTCACCATTTCATCACTGGTCGATTCATTGTCTCCCAAATAATAAAAAAATGTTTAGCTTCTTATTGGTTCAACTAAAAATCATATTAAAATTTAAGTCAAAATCAACAATTAATTTTAATAAAACATTTTATTAGAACCATAGCTTTTCAAACCAACATTCCATCCGTTGTTATCAATATTAAAAATCTAAATTTTATTTAAACCAAACAAGGACTTAATTAACAATCACGATTTAGCACGTCATAGAAGTATTAAAATTGCAATACACGTCATTTCAACTTAAAAGATCAACAATTAATTTTAATAAAACATTTTATTAGAACCATAGCTTTTCAAACCAACATTCCATCCGTTGTTATCAATATTAAAAATTAAATTTTATTTAAACCAAACAAGGACTTAATTAACAATCACGATTTAGCACGTCATCGAAGTATTAAAATCGCAATACACGTCATTTCAACTTAAAAGATTGATCTTGTTTTGCCATTTTCTTTTTTAGAGTATCACTTATCGAGTAATGTGGAAGATCAGCTATGATACGATTGTCACTAAGCAATTTTTCTCCGTTTAAAAGAATATATATAATCGAATGCGTCGGTGTAGTAAGATAGTTTAATGACCTAACAAAATTTCACTGGAGCTTTTTTAATAACTGTGGAAAAAATTATCCAAGTAGCGGGTACAACATATTATTTACTTCCATACGAGTGATGAACAGTGGCGAAGACATGATTTGGACCCAATGAGACCTAATTTAACTATTAAAAAAAATATCAAACACAAAATATGATAATATAAAAACAAAAGGAAAAGAAAAGAAGAAAAAAGTCATAAAATGTTCTTTTCTCAAATTTCAATTAGAGCATGGAATTCACTAACCACACCTTCTTCGTCCACTAATGAAGAGAACGTTTATTTGATTAGGGTTTAGGGTTTAGGATAGAGCTTTTTTTTTACTCATAAATTAGATTTTATCCATCCCATTTATATAAGCTGATATTATTTTTCCCAAATTGAGAAATTTTATTTAATGTTATTGAAAAAATAATTTTTGAAAAGATTTTTCCTAGTTTACCATTATTTAATTATTAACAACTAGTAGAGTGAAATGCATTTTTGTCCATGTTTCCAAGACAAAGTGGAAAATGTTAGAAGGTAAATATTAAAATCTATACAATTTCAAGATTAGGTCAGATGAATTGATTATAAGTAGGCAAATTAAATAAGAGTATATTAGTAAACGAACAAAATAAACACTTTCTCAATAAAAAAAAATGATTATATAAATGGAACAAGAAAATAAAGAAAGTTAGCTTATGTAAATGAGACGGAAGGAGTAGTTCATGAAAAATTTTGAGCCAAAAATGATTTATTTCAGAGGCATTATATTCACATGGTGAAATATAATTCAATTTATAGAGAAGAGTTTTGACCATATTATATATTTATTTTTTATATAAAAAAAAAGAGTCGAATTGAACAACACACCTTAATTGTGTAACTACTTGTTTTAGTTTAATTATTTAACTGCCAGTCTGAAATTATATCTATCATTGCGCCGCAGTGAAAGTGTTTATATCAATCATTGTGGCATAGCAAAATGTTGATTGTCAATTGGTAATTGAATGACGGCAAACTAGATGGTAAAATGGTCAGCAAACCTCAATTTTTGATCAGTTTATACTTTGCATAGCTGAGTTGAGTACGCAATTATTTTATGATCGACTGAACGATTAGGGCTTTTTGACTCATAAATTAGACTCTATTCGTCTCATTTATATAGGTTGATATTATTTTTCCCAGATTGAGAAATTTAATTTAATGTTATTGAAAAAGTAATTTTTTGCAAAGATTTTTCTAGTTTACCATTCTTTACTTATCAACAACTTGTAGTAAATAAAGTGAAATGCATTTTTGTCCATGTTTCCAAGACAAAGTGGAAAATGTTAGAAGGTAAATATTAAAATCTATACAATTTCAAGATTAGGTCAGATGAATTGATTATAAGTAGGCAAATTAAATAAGA